GAGACGCAGCTGAACACCGAGGCAAGCCTGCAGCCGTGGGTCGAGGACGCTCTCGTGAAGCTGCACGCGCGAAAAAACGTGTCGATGAACTCAAACTACACTCCGTGGACGCTCGAGGAGGACCGCCTACTGCTGCACTCGTACCAGAGCGGCGCGAAGATCAACGAGATCCGCGTCGGTGCCCGCAGCTACAAGTCCATCGAAATGCCAGCTACGCCGCTTCAGAACGTCACGCCACTGGTACGCGACGCGCACCACAAGAGCCGCTGCGACCCGGAGGCGCCATATCAGGACCTGCAGAACGACATCTGGACGCCGATCGACTCGACCCTCGCTCTACCGCCGTGCGCGCAGATCGACTGGATTCGCGGCGTCGCAAAGGTGCCTCCCTTATCCTGTTCGCCTGCACGCGCGCGTGATCATTCGGCTAACTCCAACGACTAGTGAAGCCATACCCTCCCAAATTCGCATCTCCTCCGTCATTCATCACCCAATCATATCAGACCCCACCGTCCCCGAGATTTCTTCAGCTTACGTCACTGGCCTCGCGACCGACGGCAGCGCCGAGCTAGACCCAGACGGCCTCCCAACATACTCCTCCGCTACTGACACTATCTCTCTCTTCGCCATCCCGCCCCACCTCACTCAAACGGCGCGCTGCGCTGACAGTCCTGAGCCTATACACGCCTACACACCACGCGGCACGCGCACACGTATTGCAGTCTAGTTATCAGCACTAAATCACTGTCGCTATCTTAGGAACGTAGCGGCAACCCACACCTCCACTTCTGCCGATCTCTCTCGCGTACTTCCTCCATGCCTTCACCATCGCTTATCCCGACACTTCTCTCCACCTGCCACCCTCCCCACCGCCACCGCCCTTGGCGCCGCCCTCTCCGCCCCCCCCAACACCGACGTCACGATCTCCGCCATCCCCAAGCCCAAATCCTGCAAAGGTGGGGACGTGTCTGTCCTCGACCCAGCCCTACTCGAGTAGCTTGGGATGTCCGTTTTATTTCAAAGTCACTTTTTATCAGCCGGCTCACGCGCGCAAAATTCTTTTTGGAGAACGATCCCGATCATCCAGGACCGGGGAGCTGAGGAGCGCACCCAGTTGGCCGGATGATCGGGGTCGTTCTTTTCTTTTCATCTTTTTTCTCGCGGCGACTCATTGCGACACGCCGCGACTCGGTGAAAGCACCTTGGGAAAGCAGGCGCTCCCATGGGCTGCAGGACGAGCAAGCCAGCTGCGCTTACCGCCGCCGACCACAAGGGCATCCCGCTGCTGGCGGCCCTCGACAAGCAGCTCCTCGCTGCCCTCCGCTCGGGCGCCATCAAGCTGCTCCGCACCGAGTTCCTGCGCGCCGACGGCTCCGAGGCGGTGCTGCCCAAACTCCTCCGCCGGCAAGAGCTGGAGCAGATGGAGAAGGAGCGAGGCATCCGCATCTTCCTCACGCCGAAGGAGGCTGTTGCGGCGCTGCGCTCGCTGAGCCGCGAAGTCGCCGGGCTGACTTACGGCTGGGCCTCGCCGGACCACCCCGACGTGACCGGAGAGTATCTGGCGAACGTGCGGCGCTTCCTGCGCCACCCGCTCGGCGAGCACGTGACCGCCCTCTTCTGGGAGTGCGCCGCCGCCCCAGACCCACCCCGTTCCCAGTGGCTGCGCTGCGTGGGAGGACAGGCGTTCCCTCTGCGCCTATCCCTCACTTGACGCTTCTCTCATACTCTGCCGCCCCCGCCCCCCGTGCGCCTCC